CCCCCCCCCCCCCCGAGTGTAGAACAGAAGCTAAAAGGTTGCGTGTTGTTGGCAGGTGTACGAGGACTGGGACAGCTTCAAACTGAACGACACGCTGGAGGTCTACGGGATCCTCTCCGTCAGTCCCGCTCTCAGCGCTCTGGCCGACGAGAAGTAAGACACGTTGTAGAGTTGAGTTTCCCCCTCCGGTGGCGATCTGCGCTTTGTTTGTTGCTCACTCTCGCCGTGTCCACACAGAGACGCCTCCTCATCCATCGTGGACCCCGCGGACTCCATGGAGACGGCAGAGGAGCAGAGGGTGCACTGCCCGCCGGCCTCGCTCGTCCCTCGCCTCCACATGCTCCACGCCAGGCCGGTGTCGCACAACAACCCCCTGCTGCCCTCCGCCACGCTGGAGGACAACAGCGCCTGTACGGACAAACAGTAGAGAGTGAATGCAGCTTGTTAACTGAAGTCCACCTCTCTTTTTCCCCGCCTGCGTTTGTTTGTGTGTGTGTGAGACTGTGAACGCCAGTAATCATGAATATTCATAACCTAGTTTTTGAATAGAAGACCACATTAGTGCTGATGTTTGTGTCACACTGTCAGAAGAGATGTAGGGAAATACTTACTAAGCCACTTACAGTCCAAAGGCCCAGTTTATTTTTACACAGATGTAAATGAGCCGAGCCACAATCCATCTGATTTGCATATCGCACCGCTGAATACGACCTGAAGCCGGGTTGTTTTGACACCCGTTGCACTTTTGTATTCATCCCACAAGAGGAAGACTACACGAGTAAATATTAGTTAAATATCCTGATGTTTTGTTATAGAAAAGAAAATATTACAGGCCTGCGTGATGAATATTATCAATGAGGCTCCTGTAAAACCTCGTGTTTTCCTTTTGTGAACATGAACCAAGCAAAGTTTTAAATATAGAGCGTCAATAAAAGGCAGCAAATCCTTAGAAAATAGTGTTTCTGTTGATGAACTTCAACAGAACGCCTAATGTGAATTCAGCACCTGCTGCAAAAGCTGAGAAAATGGATTAAAAATCAATAACAGTGCTATCATGTATTATATTCTATAAAAGCTTCTCACGGCTTTTTGTTTTACCTACTATAATGCTAATGCTGTCATTTGTACACAACAGAGTTCAGCTCTTTACATATAGAAATGCAGAGACATTAGATGTAGTGCTGGTGCAGTGTATCAGCTAATGGAGCCACCTGATGCTTTACCTTAAAGTAGTCTGTCTATTTTGAACATAAACCTCAGTCACAGTCACATTATCACGTCGGCCTCCAGCTGTGTGGGAAGCAGAAAAAAGGGGCCATTATGTCGGAGTTCATTTGTGTTGTAAAGCTTTGGAGAAGAGGAATAATGCAGCGAATGTTTTCCACTGTGAAGCCTTTAAAAGCGCACATGCCTGCAGTAGCTATAGGGACGTGTTTTAACTCTGTGTCCTTCCTCAGTTTTATCGTCGACCCTGAGTGAGATGGCCTCCGTCAGGGCCGAGCTGCTCGCATACTTCACTCACATCCTCCTGGGAGACGCTTTGGCGGCTGAGTACCTCCTTCTGCATCTCATTTCTAACGTGTACGTTCACTTCAGTTCCCGTCTTTTGCTTTTGATGCTGAAGCCGATTTTAATTCCACGCTGCGGCTGATTGTCTTGCAGGTACAGTAGACGGGACGTTCTCCCACTCGGCAAGTTCACCTTGAACCTGAGTGGCTGCCCGACGGTCGCCTCGTACACCGAACGCCTCTACCAGATCATCCAGCAGCTCGTGCCTTCTGTGAGTGAACTCCAAGCAGCTGCCAGTACTGCTGTGTTTGTTTATTTCTGCTTGAAATGAAAGAGTTCTTTTCCCCCTCTACAGTCGTACTATCTGGGAATGAGCCTGCAGAACATGAACCAGATGCGGTTGGTGCCTAAGAAGGACTATGTGGCCAATCGGCTAGCGAGTGGAGTCCTGCAGCTGGCCAGAAACACTTCCCTGTTCCTGGATGAGATCCAGCTGGAGCAGGGACAACTGGACACAACAGGTGAGGCTTCTGTAAACCACGAGGGGACGACACTGAGAGAGAAACTCAGCCGTTAATGTTGACACTGTTAGTATGATTTGACTGAGCTAACACTAACTAGGTTGGATCTGTGTGTGTGTGTGTTTTTGTTGTGTAGGTGTGCGTAACGTCACGGCCCTCGGGAACCTGATCTCTTGGCAGAAGGTCGATTATGACTTTAACTACCACCAGATGGAATTCCCCTGCAATATTAACGTGCTCATCGTGTCAGAGGGCCGCTCGCTGCTGCCGGTGAGGACAAAGAGGGATGAGGCGTGCAACCGCAGGGTGACAACTCAACCCCCCTCCACCCCCGGCATGGGGAGGGAGGGGTTAGGTTTCCTTCAGCCTCTCATGAGACTGAGCCGTGTCTGACGGTGGAGGCCGGCGTCGAGCTGCCATTGGTCGGCCGCAGCGGCCCCTCCAGCCAGCAGCTTTAGCCCGGGTCTCTCGCTCTGTTGCGAACGGCCCGAGGAATGTGCTGTGTGCTATTCCTGTGTGTTGGTCTAACGGGTTGCCATGGCGTCAGCTGTGTGCCGCAGGAACAATCCTGGGAGAGGCGTCAGGCTCGGCCGTCTATTAGTCCTGTGGTGAAGGGCAGCACGCTGTAAACAACTCCCAGGGTTGATTAGAAGTCAGCAGCGGACGTCTGCGTTTACGTTGCCCAACTCTCGTCTGTTGAGCAGCTGGAGCTCATCAGACGCTTCACGCTCAGCTCGCCAAGGCTTTGCTCCTGTCTGGCGTGCTAGGAAGTTTTGAGAATAAGCCAAACTAGGCGTGCGCGTGCACACAAGGCAGGGCCTACTTCTGCATAGCAACACCTGTGGAAAAAACTGTATTCATATAGCGTTTATATGTACTAAGGTCATCCCTGGCACTGTGTCAATGTTGCTCTGTCTCTCTCTCTGTGGCCCCACAGTCCGACTGTCGGATACACCTACAGTCTCAGGTCACCCCAGCCGACATGGAGGAGTACCTCAGCAGCATCCACATGCATACGCAGACGTCGTCACAGCTCAACAAGTTCAGACTCTACCTGAGCGTGGCTCGGCTGCTGGACTACAATATCTCTGACGAAATGACAAAGGTGAGTGAGTGCACACGAATGAGTAACAAAAGGGGAAATAACCCTTTTTAATCACATGTGGAGGTGGGATGCAGGTTAGATGTTCCTTCACGTACTCAGCCGGCCTGTGGTTGTCTGTTCGGTGTCTGTGTACATTAACGTGTCCTGTAACTGCTCGTCCTCCTTCTGATGTCCCCAGTCAGTTGAGGATGACTTTGTAGATATGAGGAAGGACGACCCCCAGAGCGTGTCTGCTGAGGACCTCCACAGGATGCTCGTCGTTGCGAGGTGGGCTGTGATTGAGTTTATATAAGCTACTTTACTTGGCATTTATCTGCTCTTTAAAAGGCGTTAGGGTTAACAACAATAATTTCTCAGATACGTTAAGCAACAACAGCGTTATCTGAGTATTTGTGAGCTGACTGTGTGTGTGTTTGTTGGCAGGTTGCTGTCTCTGAGCCTGGGACAGACCTCTCTGTGCAGAGACAGCTGGCTGAGAGCCAAACACATCGACATGCAGCGGAGGAGCCGGATGGAGCAGCACAAGTGTGTCAACGGCAACGAGCCGTGATCAGAGAGACGAATGAGACGGCTTTTGTTTTTCTTTTTTGATACCTTAAAAAAAAAAAAAAAGTTTGTAATAAAGATGCTTTTCATATGCCAGAAATAGCTCGTCGTGGTTCAACTTTTTTACCATTTGCAGATAACGTTCAGATATATTTTCCCTTCATGGACTAATGTAGTTTGTACTTACAGTAACATCTCAATGTATCATTACTCCCGTTCTGTCTTCCTTTTGCCAGCAGTGTTGCCGCAGACCAAACTTTGTATGTTAACAGAAAAAAGTCTTGTTAACCTCAACAATATGTAAATAAAGTAACGAGGTCTGGAGTTGCCAGTGTATATAAAGAGCCAACTGTTGGATATGCTGGCATGGAGACTTCCTGTTCATGAATTTTGACAATAAACCTCATGCAACACTCGTTCACTCATATACTTTTTATTCCAACAGGAATATCTTCCTAAACAAAAAGTGTACAGTGCATTTTGTTATCAAGTAACACACTCAAAGAGGATAAGAATAAATAGGATACTTTAATATACAATACAATCTCAGTACACTGTGGAAAACTGACAGTCAGTTGGTAAAGAGGAGAGATATGACCACAAACATTCAGATGGAATGGCTAGAAAATGTGCTTGAACAGTGCAAATCAAAAGCTTTAAGACCTCTAGTCACATAATAATGTGTCATGGTCTAGGGTCCTAATGGGAGGAGGGGAGGCGGGCGGGGACAACCACAGAAAACAAATGAAAAGAAGTGGTTGCAAAAAGCACTTGCTGTAAACAAGAAGGACAGGAGAAAAAAAATCTCACCCAGCAAATAGAGGATCAAACATAACTGCCAGCTTTTGCATATAAAAACCAGACACCAACACTTAAACGTCGTGGTCTCTATCAGGAATGTTGAGGATTACTGTTCCTTTTAGCTTCATACAGCCAGTTGAGGACAGAATTAAAGTTTATGCTCTGCATGAGAACTGCTCCAGTGTTTGCAATCCTGAAGGAAGTTTAAAAAAAAAAACAACCACCACCTTCTGCATTAAAACTTTGCATTGCAGCTATTACCGTAAAGCTTTGGCAGCGCCACACGCTATCAGCAGGTTCAGTGACTATATAATGTAGCACCCGCAAAGCAGCCCACAGTCTCACTTAACACAAGTATAGTCAGATAAAATATACACGGATCCCACATCGTATCTGCTGGTGAGCAAGCCGAATGCAGAAAACAGGCAAATGTAACACAAAAAATGAAATGTGTGACAGTTTATCTTGGGATATTTCAGCTCGAAGCAAACCAGATTATTATTATTTGTCCTAACGACACAGCAGTGGGATGAAGTGGCCTTGGTTCTTTATTTCTTCTGGAGGACTGTAACAAGGTCAGGAGATTTACACTGAATAACGATGGTCAACTTTAACGAGTGACTAATGAGGCAAAACCTCACTTCTTGAAGTCATTAAAAAAATTTTTTACAATATAACGATGTTTACGGCTTCGTAGCACATAAATATAACTAGAGTCCTAAACACCAAGCAGCAGCAGGGACGCTCAGACACACACACTCGCATACTGTACAGCACACACACACAGCCAACACACAAACCTGCTCATTTCCATCGAGAGTGTATGTGCCAGTCGATGAAATATCCCAAGATAGAGCTTGATGACGTACAGTAACCCTGAATATGATCTTTTATACAGTACACCAAATGTAACATGTTATAATGGACTTAAAAAGGTAGATTTTGCCATAAATACCTGATATACATAATCCCACTTCAATTCCCTGTTAAGGCAAATATGCTTTCAGTTTGGGGAGTGCATAAAGCGTCAGTGTTTCTAATAATTGGGTGGGTGCAATTGCATATATACCTACTATATGCTACTCTCCTGTCTTTGTCAAACATGCAACGTCAATGTACAACGCTGGCTGGGAGGACTCCGTTCAAACAAACCCTCATTAGTTAATTATTACGACCGTTAGAATAGTTATTTCAGTACATAATATCTATCAAAAAAACAACTCCAACCAGTCGTTTTCTGGTTATTCGTGATTAGCAATGACATTACTGGGCGTTCTTTTTCAAAATATAATGCTCATACCTCTCTGAACATATGGAGCTGCCACCCTACCATCAATACAAAAAGCTTAAGGGAAGGCTCTACTCAGGGAACAGATAAACATTACAATACTCACTGTACATTATCGACAACCGGGATACTCTTACTAAAAGTCTCGTGTAGTCTTTGTTTCATTAACGGCATATCTTCTAAGTTACACTTGACAACATTGATATTACATAGGATAACTACGTACGGTATGTCGTCCGGCTAGTTTCTGACAGCTATACAAAGGTAATAGTTAACATGGACTTGTCCTTTGGGGAATCACAAGAGATATTTGGTTGGTTTCTACAACAACTGTTACAAATTGAAGGTTATTACGAGGTCTATATCACAAACGCCAAGTGACCCGCACATATACATGATGACATACAGTACATGATAAAGTCAGAGTTGGTCTTTCAACATGCAGCTAATGTTTACCTGTCTTGTCGATATCAGCTGTTATCGTTAACCTCACATGCAAGCATTGTGGGTAAAAAATAACTTCTTTTTTTTTTTTTTTTTAAACTAAGGATGGTGACATGTTTACATGCACAAATACTCTGCATATCACGCTGGAAGTACATGAGTTTAAAACGTCTTAAAAACTTAAATAGCTTAGTTATTTGTCTGTAAAGGTAATTATAATGAGAATATCCTTTAAATCTGACAAGAAAACTGTACTTTACCAATTTAACAGTTAGCTGTATTATTTCTGGAGTCAGTTAAGATTTTAAAGTACATACACAGATGGGAATTATAACTGACTCCTCAGATACTTGAACATTTCCCATTTTTATACCACTACTCTTGAGACATTAGTATCAGAAATGTTACGGTACTGCCATTATTGCAATTTTAATAGTGAGGAATTATTAAACCATTAAAGGAGAGGACTGACATTTCTATCAGTGTGCAAGGTTGCATGGCAAAAGGGATGCGAGTTAAATATCTCTAAGGGAATCCATGATTATGTGCATGTAAACATGGTCACTGTCGTGTTGGGCTTAACTATAAGTTCTGTACAAGAGTAATCACTAACGTGGGCAGCCTTAACTAAAGGGGGAAATTTAAGAGCGTGTTTCTTGGCCGAGTAGTGACGCTATGTGCAAGCTGCTGCTACTGCTACCATACAGGGAGTTTCTACACGATGTACGACTACAAAATCCTGCTACGAGGAAAGCACTAGATCTGAATGATCCTGGTCTGGCACTGTGTAAACATTGCCTTCAGCTCGTTCTCTTGGGCTTCGTTAACAGTATCTGGCTCCGGGCTCTTCTGCACTTTCGCCACAGCAAAGTTGATGCCCTGGGTGAGGCCCGCCTGGGTGAAGCTGGCCACCTGGACCATGGAGCTCCTGATCTTGGCAAAGGGGGACACCACTCGGCTGCCGTTGCTGTCGGCGGGTGACGGTCCGAGGCTGCCCTCCATCTGTGAACTCAGACTCCTCTGAGAGCCTCCTGAGGCCGCAGAGCTGGGCTTCTGGACGGTGAGGAGGTTGGAACTGGAGGTAGTGGACTCGACGTCTAGCTGGGACGGCCTGGGGAGCTGGGGCTCCTCCTCCTCCTCGTCCTCCTGAGGCTGCGGATTGGAGCTTGGCTGCTTGTCTGAGTCTGCTGGGGTCTTGTTCTGCACAGGCACGACGGGGTTGAGTGGGGGGACGGCAGCAGGCGGCTGCTCTCCAAACACCTCAACGGGTTTGGTCTGTGCATCCTGGACAAACTGGTGGCAGTAGGCATCAATGGGAGTACCAAAGTCAATCAGGATGGCTTCTTCAGCCACCGAGGCGGCCCCGGGGGACTTGTCATCACTGACTTGAGAGGGACTTTCCTGCTTCCCGTCACATCCAGTGACCCGGATAACAGAGGGGATATTTAGCTCCACGCTACCAATCGACTGGGAGCGGCTGCCCAGTCGTGGGTTTGATGCTACAATGCCGCAGCTGGGCAGCACATAGTCCACGTTTTCTAAAGACCCAGAACACGGGTGCTCTGGGTCAGAATTATAGGAGTCAGAGTCGTCGGAGATTTCAGAGTGCGCGTCACCGATATCTTTTAGGGCTCCTGTTCCCGGGTTGTTATCGGACGTTTCCAAGCTGCTGTCCGACTTCCACAGGTTGACATGCATAGTTGGCTTTAGGAAATTGACTTTTACATCAGGCTTAGAGAAGTTACCCAGCTTCCCGAGGGGCTTGAAGGGGCCGATGTTTACGTTCGTCTTGGTTTGTTTCACTTTCTGATTGAGAGAGGAGAATTTGTTGAGGAGGAAGCTTTTGCCCTGCGCCAGCCCAGAGCTCCCCTGGCCCTGGTCAGCAGGTTTGTTCTGGATGCCCATTATATCCTCATGAGGTTTACTCTGCCGCCTGGAACACCGATACAAACAGCGTCAGTACGCGACCCACAACTGTTGTTGAACGCTAATTATCTTAATGACAGACCAGTACTCACCTCTCCAGCTTCTTTTCAACGACAAGCAGATCCAGTCCTGTGGCCTGTTTAGTTATGCGAAGCATCTCAGCTATGCATTGTAATGTGTCTGAAATGTATCACATGGTAAGTCTCAATCAGTATATGCAGAGTTTGTGATTGAAGTTTAGTTTTCTTGTTGTTTAAAGAATTTTAAGAATTACATCCTACCTTTACCGTCATCCTCAGGATTTCGCGTTGCTGCTCTGAGCGTGTGAAAGTATCCACTCGTCTCTTCATTCCTGTAATGTAAACGCATGCAGCAGAACTTTGGCTTCCCAAACAGCGTCGGCTCTGGACCTGCAAAAGAAAACACAACTCATAACTACCATTTTCAGTGATGTGCTTTCCTTGCATGAATCATAATCAGCGGAGATGTTACTGAAAGGTTACTGAGAAACTGTCAAGCACACTTTTGGGAAGTGTTGAGTGACTCAGTGTACAAGAACCTTCACTTCTGCTTTGAGTCCAACGTACCGATTTCGATCTTTTCCAAACCCTCTAAATTGAGGCGCTGGTATTGGTTGACTT